CAACTACAAAGACAAATATTACAGACTCAAAGATAAATATGAAATAATCAGTAAGGTTAATGTCCCAGCAGTATACGCGGTACAACTCGAAAGCAAAGTTGTTCGTGTTGTTTGCTAGCATATTTTACCTGTCCGTCTCACAATAATGTTGTATTAACTCGTTGATATTTGCTTTGTAAACCTTTCAATCGCTGCCCAAACAGCAACGAGACGACCTTAAGCACTCTCTGGATTCAGTAAAGCATAAAGTGCGTCGACTGAAAGAGGAAAACAAGTAAGTCAATGTCAATTATCTACTCGATCAACACCTTTTTATCAAAACTAACTCTCACTCTTTTTCGCCACAACCCTTCTCTCGTACCGTTCTGTGAACTACTCGAATTCCCAGTCAACTGTTGGATATAATGATGGATATGAATCCTCAGCTTGCTGATGATTTATCAAAGTAAGAACAAGAGGCGGGGAAAGGATATCGGGAGAAAAGCTCAGACTCTGATTGGGATCGTGAATTCGAAGAGATTGACTGATTGTGGTGCCTCACTCCCCCCAAACACCCCCCAAACACCCCTTTTTAATTGGGCGTTGCAAATAGTAGCAGTACTGACGAAGAGATGCTCTCTGGCATGTCAACTGATGATGAATCTATGCGGACGGTATTGACCAAGTATGGTGTGTATTCAATTTTGTTCTTTTCTCGTTTGTCTTTACCGCTTACGTTTCCTTTTTTTTTTTTTTCGTCCACGTTTTCCCCCGATCTGTTTCGTTTCTTTATTATCAAAACTCTTATCATTTTGTCTCTTGTTCCTACACAATTCGTTCTACTGTTTCCGTCAAACCAAATCTTTACGAAATTCCTCCACCTTCGTAGGATCACAGTCGAAAACGATAAGTCGATCAAATGTAAAGACAGGTGCATTAACGACAAAAAGACGACGCACTTCACCACAAGCCAACATGAAACACCCAGGCAAACGAAAGGTACGGATGACGTAATGAGTTTCTAAATGAGAAGGTGGAGTATAGGAAGAGTTTGGCGGAGGTGGTCATGGACTGTGAATGTCTGAAAGTATGAACCTGAACCCGTGCGTGAATGGGATAGGCTGATCCGTTCTTCTTGATCCACTTGTTATGAACGCACACGCACGCTACTGTGTATCAAATGATTATATTCATTCGATCGTTGTAATGTCTCTCCTTTTTCTATTATATTAAACCGGGGTTATTCAATTAATTCATTTGCTTAATTCATTATGCATCTTTGCAGGTAGATGATGAGTCAATCCCAGATGAGCCGCAGCAAAAAAGACGTCGTTCGAGGGCACCTGGAGTGGTATGTTACCTGGAGTGGTTTCCGATTGTGTGTGGTGAAGATTGCTAAAAGAAGTGCCTCATTCGAACAACGCATACAATCATTACATGTCTTTAACATACTTTTCTTCTTCTCTCCCTCCCTCCCAAATTTGATAAAGAGTGTTCATATAGTGTTTATCGTCGACTGTGTCGACTATGAAGTTGGATTTTTGATAGAATCTCTAATTTCATAATGTTTACGTCTATGTCACACATATCGATTGATGTTATTGACCTTGCTTCTGTTATTTAAACATTCAGAAAAAGAAGAGAGATGATCGCACAGATGCAAAGAGAGTCGAGGTATGTAATCGTCGATTGTATATTTGTAATCCAAGGGAGTTTCTTGGCACAGTTACGCAGGGAGGGCGGTCCCTTAAATTTTGATGTTTAGTCGATTATCATTATCGCAATGGTGATACATTATACATCACGAAGCATTATTTTGATGATTTATTATTTTTATATTTTAATTATATTTTGTATTTTACATTTGTCTGTGCTTTATTAGCCATTGCCGATGAACCCGGACGGTACTCTTAGGTTACCTGTCACTATTGGAAAGGGTACTAATGAAGTAACAATCTACAAGATTGGTGAGTATGGTTATCGCTTATTAATATGGCATTTCCATGATCACGTACAAGCACGATGCTATGTATAGCACAGCTATGTGTCGA